AAAGAAAGAAAGAAAGAAAGAAAGAAAGAAAAAGAAAGAAAGAAAGAAAGAAAGAAAAGAAATACATACAACTAATAGATATATTTAAAAACTACTCAACCTTACAAAGAAATATAAAATTGAAATGATGAGGTAACATTTTTCAATTACCGTATCAGCAAAAATGTTTCAGTTTGATAAATTCCATTACAAAGAAACATAGAAAACTGAAACATGGAAACTGATGAAGAAAACAACTGGTCCAATGTTTTGAAGAAGAGTTTGGCAACATCTACCCAAAGTTTAGAAGCACATGCTATTTGGCTTATCAATGCTACTTCCAGAAATTTATTTTCCAGATATGTTACATAAATATGCAAACAATATGGGGGAAATTCACCACCAAAGAATGTATAATAGCAAAAACCTGGAAAGAACCCAAGTACTAGCAATAGGGGACTGGTCAAAAAACACAGGCACTGCAGGCCGGGCATGGTGGCTCACACCTGCACCTCAGCACTTTGGGAGGCCAAGGTTGGCAGATCGCCTGAGGTCAGGAGTTCCAGACCAGCCTGGTCAAAATAGCACAACTGTGTCTCTACTAAAAATACAAAAGTTAGCCGCACATGGTGGCAGGTGCCTGTAATCCCAGCTCCTGAGGCAGGAGAATCTCTTGAACCCAGGAGGCGGAGGTTGTAGTGAGCTGAAATTACGCCACAGCAGTCCAGCTGGGGCAACAGAGCAAGACTCCATCTCAAAAACAAACAAACAACAACAACACACACGTAACTCAGCACCATAAGAGGGGGGAAAAATGTATGTTTTTTAATATGTATACAAAATAAGAAAGAAAGAAAATCCACATTGCTTTCCGTGACAGTATCTATCCCCTTCTTTTTAATGGCCGCATTATATATGTCATTGGATGGATATATCTATCCTTCTACTGTCCAACTGGGGCAACAGGGCAGGACTTCCACTCTAAAAGAAAATTTTTTTAGGCTGGGCATGGTGGCTTATGCCTGTAATCCCAGCACTTTGGGAGGCCAAGGTGGGCAGATCACCTGAGGTCAGGAGTTTGAGAACAGCCTGGTCAACATGATGAAACGCTGTCTCTACTAAAAATACAAAAATTAGCCGGGCATGGTGGTGCACATGTGTAATCCCAGCTACTCAGGAGGCCGAAGCGGGAGAATCGCTTGAATCAGGGAGACACAGGTTGCAGTGAGCCCAGACAGTGCCACTGCACTCCTGTCTGGACGACAGCACAAGACTCCAACTCAAAAAAAAAAAATTTTTTTTAATTTAAAAAAGAACTCCTTTTAATCTGACAGATATCTCCTAATAGTCTCCTTGTCACCAGTTTATAATTTTCGCTTCAAACAAGCTAATCCTATCTTTGCCCTTTTTTTTTTTTTGAGATGAAGTCTTGCACTGTTGCCCAGGCTGGAGTACAATGGCGCCATCTTGGCTCACTGCAACCTCTGCTTTGAGGGTTCAAGCTATTCTGCCTCACCTCCTGAGTAGTTGGGATTACGGGCATGCGCCACCATGCCCGGCTAATTTTTGTATTTTTAGTACAGACAAGGTTTCAGTATGTTGGCCAGGCTGGTCTTGAACTCCTGACTTCAAGTGATCTACCCACCTCGGCCTCCCAAAGTGCTGGGATTACAGGCGTGAGCCACTGTGCCTGTACGTATCTTTATCCATTTACATAAAGCATCCTATCGTGCTGAAATATTGATAGTTTTAGTAATTTTTTCTTCTGGTGGTTTGCAACCCTAGGAAAAGATTTTCTTTCCCATCCCCTCCCTGCTTTTTTCCTACCGTAATTCAGCCTTTTCAGTTTCAATCTGAAGGACGGCCAATGTTTTTTCATAATCCTTTTCAGGACAATCATAGAAAGTACGGACAATCCATCTTGATATGGGATGCTACAAGAGAAAATTCATTTAAAATTCATCCATTTCTGAATAATACTTTGCTTTTCTAGTTGACTATTCTTTAAAATGACCACCTCAGTTAGATAAACCAATAACATCTACTATGTAACGACGACTTTATATATATGAAAAACATAATTTTAATAGATTAGACGGATACTACTTTTGTCCGCATTTTAAATTTGGGTGAATTACCCAAAGTTACATAGCTAGTAAGTGGCAGCGCCTGGACTAAGCCACATCTGGCTGGCTCCAGAGCTGTGTGTGCTTTTCCATCACACTGTGCTGAGTGTCTTCAGTGGCAGATTCTGGAGCCAAACCCAGGTTCTGCCGATTCACAAATGGAGCTCTTTGCTCCAGTTAGCAAAAACAAACTAATTGTTAAGTTTTGCCTTAAGATTTAATGGTTCACCTTAAGATTTATATTTAAAATATAATTCATTCAGATAATAAAACTTGATGGGACATACTCTATTCAAGGCCATCTCACTACAAATTTGTAAAAACAAGTAACGAAATTAATTTTGGATTTTGGTAGCAGTGGGGGTATGGGGTAATGACCGACAGAGCAGGCTCCGGAGTCAAGGCTGCCTGGGCTGAAACAGTGACCCTCTCTAGACAGGTCACGTAACTCCTCTAGCCTCAGTTTCTTCATCTCCAAAGAGGGAATAACAATAGTACTTTTCACATGGCATGAAATAATATTTTTAAAATACTCAGCACAGTACCTGCTACGCAACAGGTGCTCAATAAATGACAGCTAGCATTCATATTGGTGAAATCTTTCCTAAGGCATTGAACTTAGAATAAATTATGTTACTGTTAGGTTAAGAACACACTGCAATCATTCTTTTTAAAAAAACGTAAAGCTTTAAATGATTTTTAAAAAAATGAAGTACCAAAACATGTTGTTTATAAAAAGTATGCAAAAAAATGTATCTACTTGATATAAAAAGTAAAATATAAAACTATATCACAGCTGGGTACAGTGGCTCATGCCTGTAATCCTGAGGTGAGCAGATCACTTGAGGCCAGGAGTTTGAGACCAGCCTGGCCAACATGGTAAAATCCTGTCTCTACTAAAAACACAAAAATTAGCCAGGAGTGGTAGCACACACTTATGATCCCAGCTACATGGGAGGCTGAGGCATGAGACTCGCTTGAATGCAGGAGGCGGAGATTGCAGTGAACCAAATTTTTGTATTTTTAGTAGAGACAGGATTTTACCATGTTGGCCAGGCTGTTCTCAAACTCCTGACCTCAGGTGATCCAGCCTGAGCAACAGAGTGAGATGCTGTCTCATGTCTCAAAAAAAAAGAAAACACATAAAAAACAAAACAAAACCCTAACTATATCATAATTGCTGAATTAAGATATTAACTAGGCCAGGCATGGTGGCTCATGCCTATAATCCCAGCACTTTGGGAGGTCGAGGTGGGCAGATGACGGGGTCAGCAGTTCGAGACCAGTGAAACCCCATTCCTACTAAAAATATAAAAATTAGCTAAGTGTGGTGGCGGGCGCTTGTTGTCCCAGCTACTCGGGAGGCTGAGGCAGGAGAATCGCTTGAACCCTGGAGGCGGAGGTTGCAGTGAGCCAAGATCACGCCACTGACTCCAGCCTAGGTGACAGAGTGAAACGCTATCTCAAAAAAAAAAAAAGATATTAACTAATGCACTGACAAGAGAAGTGACAGTATGTAACTGTCAATGTCCTATACAAACCTGAAAATATTCCCAGTGTTCTGGGATATAGCCTTCTGGAATTTCTGCTAGTTCAGCTGGACCTAATAAGAAAAAAATGTTATGTTCAACTTTAGCATGAGGAGTTTATAAAATTAATTCTTCACCATTAAAATAGAAACCAACTTCTTGTGGTTTTAAAGGATCTTTTAAAAAATTTGTAACAATGAAGATGCCTAATATTTTTAACTAACTTTAATCTGGTTGAAAATCGATTCATTTGTTAGACATATTAAAACATCTCTCTGTGTAAGGCATTATTTATAGGTATTCCATGAGTTTCCCATTTTGTTTTTATATACCGTAACAAGATTTAATCGGTGTTATTCCTTCTGGTCCTCCCTATACCTACGATACAAAATATTTTAGGATTCAAGGTGTTAGAAGTACTTTGAACAGAATTTCCCATGAAAATCTAATGTTTACCGTCATCCACATTTTTATTGTTAGACGATTATATGTTCCATTTTATATGTTCTAGGATGGATTAAAAAATTCTTAGTTCAGATCAAGATTTGGTTACTTTAAGATAAACTGCAATGCTTATGATTATTTAACTATTTAAAGAGCTTTTCATTATAATAGCCATCTTTTTTAAAATATATTAATGTACATATGTTTAAAATTTTTTCTAATTTGGTAGTGCTGCAGGGGATGGAAATGACTTACCAATGAATATATTCACCAGAGTTATGATAATTGCCACTGGAATCCCAGTCAAGAAAACGTAGAATCTCTAAGATAAAAAATAAACAAGTGTTTCTCATGACCATTTCATAGCTCTCCCCGCAGAGAAATCATCCTAATGATATGATTTCCTTATGTTTCTTGTAAAAATAAACTTGCCGAATTGGGCATACAGTATCAAATTATTGATTTCTGTGATTTTACTTTTAGGTCAAGCAATGCCATGAAAGAAAATAATATATCAAGAACAAAAGTGTAAAACCATTAGGGGGATTTTACCACTAAACAGGATTTGAGCTGGTCATAACAAGAAGAGTAAGAGCTCAGCCAAGGAGATGCAAAAGGGCATGATGCACAATGGAAGGGCAAGGGAAGAGATGGTTCTAAGGTCAGGACTCAAATGATGACTCAGAGCTTTATCAACAGTGGCAGACGGTCCAGACAAGCTCCCACGTTCTGTCTCTACTTTGCTCCTATACAGCCTTGAGATACAAATACACACTCAGCACTCTACGTAAGCAACGTAATTATATTATTGCTAAATTAAGACTACTATAGATCCCTGTTATCTCGGAAATCAATGTTCTTGAACAACATATAAATACAAAATCATATCCCAAAATAATGTAGCTCCTTTATTTAAAAAAGTGCTTCAATAAGTTCTTTGGTAATTTAAAGACTATTTTAGTTACAGGAACACAGATTATATTTTAAAACTTCATAATCTTTAGAAGAAAAAAACGATTCAAGTTTTACCTCCATTTAGTGTAAATCCTTTTGTGCAGAAGGGAAGTTTCGCCAATTTAACAAGAAATTCAGTAACAAACCAGACTTTACAATCTCAGCATCTTCAAATTTACAAAATAAAATATTTCATAAAATGAAAGATGTTTTGTAAAGAGGCAAAAGTCTCCCCCCCCGCCGTTATATGCAAAGACTTCAATTCAACAAAAAATTTAAACTTACCGCTAACTTCAAAAAACGCTTGTCATAGAATCCTGTAGGTTTGATGATAAATAGTCTTTTCCCATGGCCTCCACTGTGTCGAACAGGAGCTGAAAATATTAATTACCCTTTTTTATACAAGGTTCATGTGGGGGCCGGGCGCGGTGGCTCAAGCCTGTAATCCCAGCACTGTGGGAGGCCGAGGCGGGTGGATCACGAGGTCAAGAGATCGAGACCATCCTGGTCAACATGGTGAAACCCCGTCTCTACTAAAAATACAAAAAATTAGCTGGGCATGGTGGCACGTGCCTGTAATCCCAGCGACTCAGGAGGCTGGGGCAGGAGAATTGCCTGAACCCGGGAGGCGGAGGTTGCGGTGAGCCGAGATCGCGCCATTGCACTCCAGCCTGGGTAACAAGAGCGAAACTCCGTCTCAAAAAAAAAAAAAAAAAAAAAAAAAAAAAAAAGGTTCATGTGGGTATATTGCTTTATTATGAGTTATGTGGCAAATATAAACATTCCTTTTTAAAGTTTCCTTTTCTTGTTAAAGAATAAATCTTAAGTATGCTACTAACTCTTTGTTAAGCCCTTCCCTATGTAGCTGTTAGACATGCCATGCTTACAGGCACATAGTATATTCTATGTCCTTGTGCTCTAACCAAGATATCTGTGCTGGACGTGCTCACAGGTATGTCCCAGCTCTCCACTGCTTTTACCTGTTTAGAAAAGTTTTAAGTTGTTAGCCAATTGGGTTTTAGTTTAGATTGTGAGGTCTGGCTCCAGCCAATGGAGATCAGACACAGCAGTAAGGACAATTCCAAATGCATAAGGGATAAATATGTCTGCTTTCCTTTGCTCATTGTACTCTCATGGCAAGATGGCTAGCGAGAGCATCCTTCCTGCAGTCCAGGAAGTACAAATTGTATTGCTCAGGGCTAATTTTTCTTTGCAGCACTGAACATCTGTTTCCAGTAGTTAAAATCAGATTAGAAAAAAAATACATGGGTCATTTTGTAGTTCATAAGCATGATGACTGAGTTTTCACACTCACATGTCAGATGTGCCTCCCTCAAATCTTGTTATGAGGGAGGCACATTACCCATCTGACATGAAACAAAAAGAAAATATATATTCATAGATGTTTAATGTGAGTTAAGATCTTAAAACATTTAATTTGATTAGGGAGGTCAGATAGGATATCTTTAAACAAAGATGGAACTACTGTTCTAAACTATAACTTTCCTCATTTTAATTCAAAATTAAAGAAATATCTAAATAATCATTTTAGGCTGGGCATGGTGGCTCATGTCTATAATCCCAGAACTTTGGGAGGCAGAAGTGGGGGGATCACCTGAGATAAGGATTTCAAGACCAGTCTGGACAACATGGTAAAACCCCATCTCTACAAAAATACGAAAATTAGCCAGGCCTGATGGCGGGTGCCTGTAATCCTAGCTACTCGGGAGGCTGAGGTGGAAGAATCGCTTGAACCTGGGAGGTGGAGGTTGCAGTGAGCCAAGGTCATGCCATTGCACTCCAGCCTGGGCAACAGAGTGAGATTCTGTCTCAAAAGAACAAAAAAAAAATCATTTGAATTTGTTTCAGTAGTGGGCAGAGAGGTTAGACACTTAGCTGCTAGTCTGTGTCTCCTGTGCAACAAATATTTGCTAATGCTACAAAAGAAACACATTTAATTTCAACTCTTCCATTACGCCACTTCATATGACACATCATCTGCATTATATGTATTATTACACTGCAAAATAGATGGAAAGGACCAGCAGTATTCATTCAACAAATCACTAGCAGGAATCTGAACTTGTTACAAAACTCCACACTCTTCAATATCTTGACAAAAATCACACGGTAATCCATTGATTAAGAATATCCTCTTCAGGCCGGGCGCGGTGGTTCACGCCTGTAATCCCAGCACTTTGGGAGGCCGAGGCGGGTGGATCACGAGGTCAAGAGATCGAGACCATCCTGGTCAACATGGTGAAACCCCGTCTCTACTAAAAATACAAA